GAGCCCCATATCAGGCTCTGTACTGACAGCTCAGAGCCTGGAACCTGCTTCAGATTCTGTGTCTCCCTCTCTCTCTGCCCCTCTCCCACTTGCACTGTGTCTCTCAAAAATAAATAAACACTAAAAAATATCTCAAAAATAAATAAATAAAATAAAATGTATCCACTCCAAGGGTCTATGCTAGGGGCTATGGGAGATACATGGTCTCTGCCCTCAAAGAGCTTGCATGCTCACTGAAGACACAGAGAATGTGAGTCCAGGAGTTCAGGACCCAATGGAAGGGCCAACTGGTGAACTCAGTGGGGCTACAGCACACTGGCAATTCTCTACAGATGCTATGCGCTTTGCAGTGGCCTTTAAAGCCCTCTGCTGTGCTTATAAGTGAGACACCCACCTGCCATCACTTTGGCATTGAATGAGGAGTTGGCTGAAAAAGTGAAGGCGGGGTATGAACGATGAGGACGGGTCACACTAGCCTCCCAAGGGAAAACTCAGAACATAGGCCAGAGACAGAAAAGAGAAAAATCTTTTGAAAGAACTGCTAATGTCTAGCAACAGCAGGAAAGGTTGCTTGAAGAAGACAAGGAAGCTCGTCGAAACTGAGGCAGGAAATCCCATGTGCTGGGATTGAAGTGGCAGGCCCCGGAAAGGAAGGTTTTGTTGCCACTATTTTCTTGAAGTCCTGCAGGGTTTGGGAGGAGGGAATGAAGTCTTCTTTCTCTGTCTGCTACTCAGGTAGTCATTTTTAAGTCTTTAAAACTCTATGAGGAGAAGGGCTGTGCTTTATTCATTTCTGTAATCCAAAGGCTGAGTGCTGTACTTTGCCCATAGTTGCTGCACAAGAAAAATGCCTGTAGAAGAAATGACTGAGCAAACATATGGATGAATTTAGATTCTCCTATAATGGCTGGGGTCTCAGAAGGAGGCAAAACCAGACCTGCCCTACAGGGTGGGAGAGGGAGGGGGCCCTTTCGGTGAGGAGGGTGTTTGAGCTTTAATCTAATGGGTCCAGAGTTCTGTGGTCTTTTATCTGGGGAGAGGATCCCTAGTGTTCATAAAATTCTTGAAGGGGCCCGTGATCTCCAAAAGGTTGAGATTCACAAACAACGTTTCTCCGAACTCTCTTGTTAAACCCTATAACTAGTGGCCCAATTGAGGACATTCCTAACTTACCCTCCCAACCTCGTTTGCCTGCCTCCAATCTCTTCCCTATTATTCATCCTATACAGATAAATTTACTTAAAGTACAATTATGATCATGTCATTCCCTTAATCCCGAAAGATAGCTCCCCCATCACTTGCAGAATGAAGTCTCAACATAGTGCCTCAACAATAAAGTCTCAACAAGCAGGGGAGGGGCAGAGAACGAAGGTGACAGGGAATCCCAAGCAGGCTCCACAGCCATCAGAGCAGCCTGATGTGGGGCTCAAACTCATGAACCATGAGATCATGACCTGAGCCAGAGTCGATGCTCAACTGACTGAGCCACCCACGTACCCCTACTTCCCTTTCCTTAAAACCTTTCTCTGCTTCCTCACTTGTGCTTCAAGCCTGGAGAGCCTCTTCCCAAAACCCTCCCCATTCCTCAGCCTAACTCATGTACTTCCACCATGCAGCAGTGATACTGTTTACCACTGAGTCCACGTATCACTTTGTTTGGGTCTTACGGCTGATGTCTAGTTATACCTCCAAAATCCATTTTCCTCTTCTGCCTGGGTGCAAAGCCACCTAACAAGATATTTCCTAGTCTTTCTTGCAGTTAGGTGTAACTTGCAACTAAGCTTTTGCCATGTGACAAAGCTCTTGTCAAAAGGATATGACAGAAAGTGAAATGGACAAATTCCACCTGACTTGCTTAAAAGGAAATCCCTTCCCTGGACCTCTTTCTTCCTTCACATGAGCTGGAATGTGGATGTGCTTATGACCTTGCATGGAGCATAACTCTCCCACTGGCCTAGAGTGGCCAGCATGTGATGTAAGAGAGAAGTTATCCTTCTTATTTGAACCACTGCATTTTAGGCACCCCTTAAGTACCCCTAAGCCACAGCAGAGGCTTCTCTATGGTAGTATATTAAATTGTACTGTGGCTTATAGTTATTTATATAAATGTCTCGTTTTCTCTACTAAGAAACCAACCCCTTGTTGGTTTCCCTGCTTCCTATCTTTCCCCCTACACTCTATTCTCAGCTGAGGTGATTTATTTATTTATTTATTTAAAGTTTTTATTCATTTATTTTTCAAAAGACAGAGGTAGCATGAGCAGGAGAGAGGCAGAGAGAAAGGGAGACAGAATCCCAAGCAGGCTCCATGCTGCCAGCACAGAGCCCAGTGCAGGGCTTGAACTCACGAAACCATGAGATCATGACCTGATCTGAAGCCAAGGGTCAGATGCTTAACCATCTGAGCCACCCAGGCGCCCCTGAGGTGATCCTTTTAAAGGGGAAGTCAGATCATGTCAAAACACACACATACACACACACACACACACACACACACACCAAAAACAAAAACACCTTACTCAGTAAATGCAGAAATCTTTAAAATGGCCTACAAGGTCCTACAAGGTCCATGATCGGCAGCCCCTCACTAATCACCCTTATCTCACAGGCCTTATTTTCCATATTTTCTCTTACAGGTGTGCCCCACTTCCACCGACCCAATAGTCACTCTGCATCAGACACACCAACCATTTTACTATTCCACAAACAAGTTAGACACTCTCCTGCCTTGGGGTCTTTGCACCTGCTTTTCCCTCAGCTTGTCCCAGATATCAACATGGCTCATTCCTTTATCTCCTTCAGGTTTTGCTTCAAATGTTATCTTCCCAGATAGGGTTTCTCTGACTATCCCACTTAAAATTATACTCTCCCTCTTCCCTACTACAATCCTGGCACATTATCCCACTTCCTTGCCTGATTTTCCTCTACAGCACTTATCACCATTTGACATATTATATATTGTCTTTATTTACACATTTATTGTTCAAGAATGTAAGCTCCATGAGAGCAGGATTTATTTAAAAAATTTTTAATGTTTATTTATTTTTGAGAGAGAGTCAGTGGATGAGCAGGGGAGGAGCAGAGAGAGAAGGAGACACAGAATCCGAAGCAGGCTCCAGGTTCTGAGCTGTCAGCACAGAGCTCAATGTGGGGCTCCCATGAACCATGAGATCATGACCTGAGCTGAAGTCAGACACTTAACCAACTGAGCCACCCAGGAACCTGAAGAGCAGGGATTTTTGATTGCTTACTGCCATATTCTCAGTGCCCAGGACAGTATTAAAAGTATTCAATTGGGGCACCTGGGTGGCTCAGTCGGTTCAGCGTCTGACTTTGGCTCAAGACATGATATCAAGGTTCACGAGTTCGAGCCCTTTATCGGGTCCTGTCCCCCACTCTCTCTGCCTCTCCCCCACTCGCATGCATGCACATACACCTTCAAAAATAAACATTAAATTTTTTAAGTATTCAATATGTATTGAATGGATGAATTCCTTGGGCCCTAATACCTTCTAGTCCCCTCAATGCCTAGCACAGTGCTTTGCATGCCATAAAGCACTCAGTAAATATTTGATGAATGAACTATGATGGAAGACTACTAATATTCTGCCTTGAAGTTTGCTTCCTTCTCCAAGTACCCCTATACACCTGGGCCTACATTAAATTCCTGAACTCTTAAAAGTATGACAAAGGGTCAGTAGGAGAGGTCCTCCATGGACACTGCTGAAAACGGCAATAACAAAGCTAGGATGCTGCTTTGAGTATTTTCTGCCTTTGCCACTTGGACAAATCCCTTTGCATCTCTGGGTCTTAGTTTCACCATATGTAGGATGAAGCTAGGAGACTAGATGATTTCTGAAGTCCGTTCTATTTTTACAGCTTGTAGTTATGGTGCTCATAACTAAAATTGTATGATTCTAAAATTGTATGATTTTTCTCTTCCAACCTGTGATTGGAATATGCTTACTGAAAATGTGGTGTCAGAATAAAGGCCCTCTTTGGTCCAATTAGCAAGCATCATCATAAAAATAATAAAACGTGGTGTAAAAGGCCATATTAGCAACATGCAGACATGACAGTGAGGCTCCCATGAGGCAGATAAGACCAAAAACTAGGTTTTCTGATTCCTTCAGGGTTCTTTATCTCAAGTCCCATACATATATTTAATTTCCTCTCCTTTCCAAGGGTTAGATAAATCAGATCTTTATCGGCAAGATATTTTGGAAAATCCACACTCCTTTACTTGTTTGAACACACTTGGTCTCAGCATCCGAGACAAAACACAACTTTCTCTTGCCGTGTCTCTGGATGATTGAGGTGACATGTCCTCAGTCACTTTCCCCTTGGGACTTGTCTTCCAGGCAAAGGCAACACAGTACAGTTGCAAAAGGTAAGCATGCCCTTTGAATGCACCTGTGGTACGGGTGTCTCTCTGTGATGTAAACGTGCTTTAATTCAGCCCTATCCTTATAAGGAGATAAAAATCACGTTCAGAAATATGCAAACTCTTGTTCAGAAACCTCCCCTTCATTCTGACAAACTGGCTGCCATCCTGATAAACAGATTTTCTTAAAAGGAACTGTAAACCAGAGCCAAACTTAATTTCTGGCACTGAAGGAAAAAAAAAAGCGTGTCTGATTTCCCGCTTGCGAGAAAGATCTGGCACTATGCGTCACCAGCATCCCTGCACTCCCCAATCAAACGTGGTTTCCTTTGGCGCTCCTGAGCCAGCTCTCGCCCACTGCCTGGCTACGGGGGCGGGGCTATACCTTAGCCTCGCCCCTTTCGTGGCCTCCAGCCAATACCTGAGACAACTGGAGGCAGGCAAGAGCCACAGTGAGGACCCGCCCCTCGCTCCCGTTCAGCTAATCAGGGCGGACGGGGTGTGGATTTCTTTGCTGACCCCGCCTTCCTGGCGGTGGGCAATTTAGAGCCGCACGCCCGGCGGGAATGTAAGATGGCGGAGTAGCAACGCGAAGCGGTTTGGACCTGAGTCTGTGGGCCGACTTCGGTTCCGGTCTCGGCAGCAACAGTGATCGCTGAGCAGAGAGTGCCTAGGGTGGTTGGCCAAGATGCCGAATATTAAAATCTTCAGCGGCAGTTCCCACCAAGACTTATCCCAGAAAATTGCTGACCGCCTGGGCCTGGAACTAGGCAAGGTGGTGACTAAGAAATTCAGCAACCAAGAGACTTGGTAAGGACGAAGTTGGGACCCCAACCCGGGGCGGCAGGGACCCCGCTTGGAAGGCAGAGAGTAGGGGGATGGGGCCGCCGCGTGAGTTCTGAGGGACCGCAGGGAGCGGGGGAAGGGGAAGGGGCAGCTCTGTGGCAAGCGTGCCCCACGGGCTGTTTCCGTTATTTTACCTCTCGCGGGAGGGTCACGTTCATTCTCACGGTGAGGTGGGGTGGAGTCAAGATGGAGCATGAGGCGAAGCTGTCGGGTTTGAAGTCAAGGGCCGGAGGACCCAAGGCGGGGTAGTGGCTGCCTAGAGCTACGGGAAGGGAAAGACGCTTAGCCTCGGCCAAGGGGACACGTGGCTTTGTCGCTTCGCTGTTGAGCTATCCTGACTGGACTGGGTTCACTTTAACTCTTGGACCAGCTTGCTTGGGAGAACCTTACTGCGTAATAAGCCCTCCTGGTGTTTCTTTTAGAGTCTAAGAAGCAGCTTTTCAATTCGAAATGGTGTCGGTTGGGTTTCGTTTTGAAGGAAATTGACATTAGGTACTGAGGGCGCCAAAATGATTACTAAGGACTTCCCTTGGATTGGCAAGCGTTGGCTTTTCACATCTTTAGAATCGGAGCCATACTTAAGTTAAATCTAGTTGATCAAATAAAGTGATGCATTAACTCTGCATCCTGATTGCCAGCATCTCAGCTTGAGCCATCCAAAAATTTGGGGGAACCTTAGTTCTGGAATCCTTGACCTTTCCCAGTGCGGGTACTGGTACAGATGATACAGAAACGTATTTTTCAGTAGCAAAGTCCCTCCTGAACTCGTCCACTCCTCTTAGCGCTGTTGTGAGGATTTTAGGAAACAGTTTTCATCGCAGAGTGTTAAGATAATGGAGGAAAGATAATACAGTGGAAGACCGGAATTGCATAGTACATTGCAGCTGGAATTTTTTTCATTGCCTTGCTAATTAAACGTGCTCCCTCCCCCCACTCCCAACCTCCTCCTGCACCTTGGGGCTATCTTAAAAGATAACTTAGTTATTTCATCCTTTCAGTGTGCCTTCCACCTAAATGTAGAATCTTCTGGTTCTGATAGGTATACTTTGTGTTTTGTGGTCCTGTTGATCAAATCAGAGCTGGGTCCACAGTCTTATGGATGCAGTCATCTAGTCAGTCATCTAGTAAGGGGAAAGTTTACACTAAGTCTAATGGTCAGTTAAATTAGTTAAGGTTACTTTCAGCATTTTTTCCTAAATGCTTTTTTTTTCCTTTTTTTTCTTTCTTTAAACTTACTATGGAAGTGTAACTCCCCTATCCTTTCTAGATCTGCTTATAAAAGCATTCATCTGTAGTGGACAGCTTCCTTCTGGATACTTGATTGTTGTACTGCTGGTTGTGATGCAGATGATAGTGCAAACACTGACACCATCTGTAACTAGGCAATACCTTAGTCAGAAGAGGCTAGCCAAGCTGCTGTCTTTAGCTTTGACCACACCATTATGACACCCTAATAATGAAACCATACAGGACCAGACATTGCATGTGGCAATACAGGTGGGGACAAGAATGATTTTCATTTAGAGGGGTTTTTTGCCCGCCTTAGAGAACTATGGTTATTAAATCCTCTTCCTACACTTCTAGGAAAAATCCAAAGACTTTATTTTTCTTTGTGTTAACCCTTCACCCTCTGTCATAATGCAATACTCTAGAGCCTGAAACTATATTGGGAGAGGGGGAGGACGAGAACAATTCAGTGTTCTGACCGATCTGGATTCATCAGCAATCCCCATCTATTTCTGAAATCAGGCTGGTTTCATTTTTAAACAGCTGGACAGAGGCATGCTTGGAAACATTGGTTAAGATTAAGCCCAATGTGGAAAATGGCTGACTGGTTTGGTTTCCTCGTTTCAGGCTTAATAGCTTTTTGGTTCCCTAGGTGTTCTGAAATCTTCATTGAACATAATTGAGTATGTTGCCCGTGGAGCTTCCCTCTTCCATCCCCCACCCCCACCTTTGGCTCTTCTGCACTGTAGAAATGGTAACTACTGCCCTGTGTGACTCTTGGGCTCTGAAGGGCATAGACAGAGCAGCTCAGTGGGTACTCTGGGTAATCAGATGGAGAACTGCAGAGCCCATCCTCAAATGAGACAGTTTTGCTATTTGGCAGAGTCACAGGGGTTGGTGCTCTCTCAAGCAGAGTGGCGTTACTTCTCGACTCAAGAGCCTCCCTTGCTGTCCAGTTACGCAGGAAACATACATATAGGTGGGTGTATTGCACACAAAAAATAAGAGAGATTAGAAGCTCAGGCTCTGGAATCAGAGAACCTGCATTTGAAATCTTAGCTTTTCTTTGCCTCACCTGTAAAGTAATAGCTACCCATAGAATTATTGTGAAGATTAAATGAGATAAATTAGAACATTGTCCAACCCAATAAATGCACAGTGGATGTTGGTAAGCAGTTGTGGTGATGGTATTGCAGAAACTACAGAAGAGGACAAAGGGGAAAAAAGACCTCCCAGATAGTGCCGCCACCACCCAAGATCAGCTGTTCACATTTTGATTTATGACCTTCCAGATATTTTGTGTGTTTATGTACTTTTCCAAAAATGTAAGGTATCTATGGCTTTCATCACTTAGCAATATATTTTGAATAATTTCTCCCCTTAACATTTAGTCTACATGGTTTTAAATAGCTGTTCTGGTCTTCTTACAGTTTTACCATAATTTTAGATAACTGAGTAGTAGATATTTCCTGTTGTTGACTAATGCTTTTATATGAAAACCTTTGAACACAAATCTTTGTCCATTTCCTTAGGACAAATCCCTAGAAGGGGAGTTACCAAGTTAAGGGGTAGATGCCATTTTTCAGGCAACTGATAACATGTTACCAAATTGCCCTCTAGAAAAGTTGACCCAATTTCTGCTCTTGCTCTCTAGAAAAGTTGACCCAATTTCTGCTCTCATCGGCAATAATCAAAATAATAGTAATTAATGTATAATGAGTGCTTAAGAGGTGCTAGTTCCTATGCTAAGTACTTTATACATTTCTAATCCCCTCTACCCTGCTGAGAAGTTACTATCCCCATTTTATGGATGAAGGAACTAAGATTCAGAGGTTAAGTAACTTGCCCAATACTGGGTACTATTGCTTACAATTTTTGTTGATGGAGTATCTCATCTGGCTTTTTTTTTTTTTTTAAATTTTTTTTTCAACGTTTATTTATTTTTGGGACAGAGAGAGACAGAGCATGAACGGGGGAGGGGCAGAGAGAGAGGGAGACACAGAATCGGAAACAGGCTCCAGGCTCTGAGCCATCAACCCAGAGCCTGACGCGGGGCTCGAACTCACGGACCGCGAGATCGTGACCTGGCTGAAGTCGGACGCTTAACCGACTGCGCCACCCAGGCGCCCCTCATCTGGCTTTTAAAACTTATGAATAAATTAAAGTTTTTGATTTTTTTTGATTCTCTTCAATATCAAGAAATAGCTTTGGTTTATTTGGTTACTGTGGATAGGCTCAGAGGGGGGAGGACTTTAACTTTGATTGTCTACGATTTTCCTAAGAACCTTGGTTAGTTAATCCCTTGGTTAGTTAATCCCTTGCATTTTGCACATGCCAATGTCTCCATCTAAATTCTTGAGATTTTCTTAAGAAGACTATCCGCCTTTTAGATTTCGCTTTATTTCCTATTGTGTTTCTTAGCATTCCATGCTGGTTGGATGCACTGATGCTAAAGTAAAGATAAAGCAGAAGCTGTTTTTCTCATTGGATGGACATAGCCAGCTTGGCCTTGCCAGAAGATTGGGGGAATGATTGGCCCAAAGCCATTTGGAGAACACACCGTTAGTAGCTAGAGGGAGAGAACATGGAGTGTTACCCTTTAAATTGCTAAACTAGGTCTTTCCACCTGATAAATTGCATTAAAAGCAAACAGGTTTTAGCCACAGCTCTTCTACCATCAATCACTGCCTAATTTATCATCTCTTAGACTTAGAGGAAACCATAGAAATAATACTAAGATTTTTTGAGGACTCACTGAACTATTGATTGACCAAGCTGTATAATAGGAGTATAGTTTGCAGATATTTTAAGGCTTTCTGAAAGTCTGTACCTTATAATACTACTGGAGGGGCAAGATTGATCTTGATTAGTGAGATTAGAATACACAGTAAAATAAGGCAGTGTCCTAGTTTTACTTACACTTTTATTTTGCATATAGTTAAATAAATAAAAATTTCAAGTTGCTAGATACATGTCTGGTCATAACACCTTTCTATGCTTCAGGATTTAGTCCTAAATTTGGTTTTGGGAAATGGCTGAACTGTTGGTTGATTTTTAAAGGCATACCTCTGCTAAATCTATGTATGTAACAAATGGTCTCTCATGTTTAACTTGGCAGTGATAATTTAATTTTATAATTAATACTTTAGCTGCTTTCAAGAAAGGATTTGAAGTGTGTTTCATGATAGTCACACGATTTGTTAAATAGATGCTTCAGAAGCCTTCTAGAACAAAGGCCTATCATAATTGTGCCAAGAATTTGGCGCAAGGTAGTTACTGCAGTCTAGTGTTACTTTAACTGCATCCCTTGGCTTCCTGGTAGCCAAAGGGATAAAGCCACTTGCAGTGGATTATGTAGTTTTTCTTTTTTTTTTTTTTGAGAGAGAGAGACAGAACAGCATGAGCAGGGGAGGGGCAGAGGGAGTGGGAGACCGGGAATCTTAAGCAGGCTCCACACCCAGTGAGGGGCTGGATCTCACTGGTTGGATCTCACATGGTGAGATCATGACCTCAGCCAAAATCAAGAGTCAGATGCTTAACCAACTGAGTATCATGAAACTCCTTAGATACCTCCAGGCACAAAATTCTGGGAATTTCATGGGTGGGATCCTTAAATAATGATATTGAGTAACATAAGGAACAATGTAAACAATTATTATGGGTGTTTTTAATATTACTTCTGATAGTTTAGGCATTTGTAAAGAGAGATAAGCCATCATGTGTTGTTTTCTGGTCTTACTTGAAAACAAAGCTTTGGAATAGATAATTAGCCCTTCTCTTAGCCTCTTGGAGCTTTTGTTTAAATTCCTAATCAACACCACCTGGTTCTGGGTTGAGTGTATGTCTGGACCACAGATGATATTCTGTGTTCTTGACTGGAATAAGAGCCATAGGCCTTCCATATCACATGTACAGGATAGAGGTGACTTTCCTGGAAATCAGTGTGCCTGACCTTTGTTCTCCCCCAAGGAAATGGAGATCTTCCTCAAGGAGGTGAGGTATGGGGCTCACCCCACACCTGTGGGCGGGATTAAATTTTTCTTGAGTTTTGAAGTTGCACAGGTATTTGAAATACTTGGTCCAGACCCCGGAGTTGTGCACCATAAAACATAGAAGGAACTCTTGTGGACTGGAACTTCTTAAAGGGTGGGCAGTGTTAGTGAAGGAGATCTGAGAAGTCCCTTAAACACCGCTGTCTCTTGTTTGGGCCTACCACAATGAGTAACCTGCAGAGCGCGTTCTCCTCCAGGAGGTGTGACTTAGCCTTGTCCATTGTGTTTTTTACATTTTTAGTATATTTCACTTATCCCAGTATATCCAAAAATATGATAATTTCAGCACATAAGCAACTTTGAAATTGAGATACGTTTTGCTTTTGTTTCTCCCACCTTCACAATAAATAGAGTGTGTATTGTATGCTTGTAGCACATCTCAATTCAGTTCCTCTGTCACTAGTGACATTTTAGGCGCTCCATAACCACACAAATCCAGTGACTCCCAGATTGCTCAGTCCCATTCTAGGACCTGCACTTTGGAAAACATGGGAGTTACTCTCACAGAAAGTGCTCCCTGGCTCCCTCCTGCTTGTCCATTTGAATTTTGAAGAATGTCTTCAGAATGTAATTTTGGCATTGGCGTAGTTAAGGTTGCCGACAGACTCCATTGTTTTTTTTTTTTTTTTTAATGTTTATTTATTTTTGAGAGAGGGAGAACACCAGCAGGGGAGGGGCAGAGAGAGAAGGAAACCCAGAATCCCAAGCAGGCTCCAGACTCTGAGCTGTCGGCATGGAGCCCGACACGGGGCTCAAACTCGTGAACCCTGAGATCGTGACCTGAGCCAAAGTTTGGACGCTTAACTGACTAAGCCACCCAGGCTCCCCCAGAGTCCATTGTTTTTTAAGGCTGACCTTGGTGATTAACAGATGTCAACTTGGCTAAGCCGGGGTCCACAAAATTGCTATATCATTTATTCTGTTGCCTCGGTATCAGTATTTCAGGATCCTGCTGCAAAAATCTTCGTAGCTGTCGTATTCTGGTGCTCCCAACAGGTTGTATGTAGTTCCACCCAAAATGAAATCTCTGCCAGCTGTGTATCTGTGAAGAGGGTATGAACAGATTTATCAAAATCTTTTAAAGAAACATGTTGGACCCATTGCCTCTAGTGTGAAGTGAGTTACTTTGTGAGGAATGATAGAAGTCCGTCTTCTAAATTTTCTCACTAGTACACCTGCAGAAGGTTCACAGTATCTTGAGTGGATACCGAGAGGCATCCTAGTCCTGCTGGATATTCATTCATTCATTGTTTGTGCCCTAGAGGCACTGGCTGGCTGGGGATACAGAAGAGTGCAACAAATCTGGTCCCTGCCTTTGTGGAGCTTATGTTCTAGTGAGAGACAGGCAATAAACAAGTGTTTACAAAATAAAGTGATAACAAGTTATGATAAGTGTTTTTGAAGATAATAACTAAAGTGGTGAGGGAATGACTGGGGAGGGTCACTTTATTATGAAACATTTCAAACATGCAGAAGTAGAAGAGTATAGTGGTTTCCCCCAAGGTACCCATCACCCAGTTCAGCAATTCTCAATTCCTGGTTTAATCTTGTTTTCATCTGTTATTCCCCCTTCCATACACACCCACAGTTACTTTGAAACAAGCCTAGATAGTATATTGCCTTTGTACATTTTAGTAACCACAGTCCCATTTTCTTGCCTCAAAATGTTAACAGCAATCTCTTAATATCAAATACACAGTGTTCACATTTCCCTGCCTCATAATTGTGGGTGCTTTTCTTCTCTGTTTGCTCGAATTGGTTTGCAGACAAGGCATATATATATATATTTTAATTGGTTGATTATTTTTAAGTCACTTTTGATCTTTTGCTTCTCAGGAAGTCACTTTTTTTGATAAGAGGGTCAGAGGAGATACTTTGATTGAAGTCCTGAGAAATAAACCAGCTAGTTGTAGGAAGAGCATCCCAGGTAAGTGGGAAGAAGTGCAAGGCAATGATGTGAGCAGGGAATGTTAAGGAAGGCCATGTAACTGATACATAGTAAGCTAGGGAGAAAATCTTTTGAGATGAGCTATCTCTCAAATCAAAAAGCCCAGAGTTTTCCAGATTCCCTCACAGTATTGCACAGTTTCTCAGAACATTATACAACTGGACTAGGTTCTTTGACTTAATGCAGAAATGCTTTTGTTTTTAGCTGCATTTCTGTGACTTCAGCTTTCACTGAGGGCCACAGTTAATGCTTTATTTACTCAAGTACGTACAAAGCATGATTATGCGCTTCTGTGTTGAAGTCAAATTTTGAGATAGTTGTAGATCCACAGGTAATTGTAAGATATGATGCCAAGACTTTCTGTGTACCCCTTACCCAGTTTTCCCAAAGCTCCCAGCCATAGTCATTCCAAACTAGAGTTTTCTTGCAAAACTGTAGTGTGACACAAGAAGCAGGATATGGACATTGATGCAGTCAAAATACAAAACCATCCTGTCACCACAAGGCTCCATCCTGTCATAATCACACCCACCTCTCTTCTCCCTCTCTGGATTTTCCTTATGTTGCCTCTGTCTGGTTTTTTGGTGGCTCACTACTACTGGCCTTGTAAAATGCATTGGAAAATATTCCCTCCTCATCTGCATTCTAGAAAAGATGGTGCACAATTCGTGTGAATTCTTCAGATGTTTGGTAGAACTCTCTAGTGAAGCTGTTTTTGGTCAATCTTAGAGACATCCATTTTTTAAATTTTTTTTTAAAAGTTTATTTATTTAAGCAATCTCTGCACCCAATGTGGGGCTCAAACTCACGACCCTGAGATTAAGAGCCGCATGCTCATCTGACTGGGCTAGCCAGGTGCCCCAAGGCTTAACCAGTTTTTTAAATTCCCCTTCCCCCAAGAACCAGCTTTGTGTTTCATTGGTTTTTCTCTATTGTTTTTGGTTTCATTGATTTCTGCTCTTATGGTTAATTTTCTTCTGCTTACTTCAGGTTTATTTTGCCCATTTTCTACTTTATTGATATTAATTATTGAGCAAATCATGCACTTTTAACATAAGGATCCCCAGTACAAAATACTTCTTTAATTCAGTGCCTGAAGAAGGTTTATCTCCAGATATCCCAAACTAATGGGTTTTCTTCTTTGTTCTGGCTACCAAGAATCTCAGCTTCCCTGTTCTAATTGGTTTCTGGTTTGATTTTTACCATTTGCTTTTATTTGTCTTGCTTTACAATGTAAACTAACCCCATTCTTCTTATTTTTTATTTTTATTTTTTTAATGTTTATTTTTAAGAGAGAGAGACAGAGCGCGAGTGGGGGTGGGGCAGAGAGAGACGGAGACCTATTTTCCGAAGCAGGCTCCAGGCTTCGAGCTGTCAGCACAGAGCCCGATGCAGGGCTCAAACTCACCCATGGGGAGATCATGACCTGAGCCAAAGTCGGATACTTAACCAACTGAGCCACCCATGCACCCAACCTCATTCTTTTTAAAATTAATTGTTACTTGAATTGGAAAAGAATAAATATAACTGTCTCCCTATATTAGCTGCTTCCGGCAATGGAATTCTCTCCTGTTGAAGTTTTTCTCTTGATCAGTAGGAGTTATCCACAATTCTAACCTACTCCTGGTTGATACACGCTATGTAACACACACATGCACGCGCGTGCAAATACCACCACCTCACCTACAGGATTAATTGGAGGAAATGGTGTTGCTCTGAGGTGTCACGGAGGTTATGATTTTTTAATTATAAGTTATTCTTGGTAACAACCCAAGCATGGATATTAAAACTTTCATTTTATGGTTAAGTGTAGCCCTACTCCATAATTAACTTCCTGTGGAATATTTTTTAAACAAGACATACTAATTGGAAAGAATACAGTTCGCATAAAATGGAGGCAAGGACCACATCTGTTTTATTCTCCATGTGTCCCTGGCACTTAGCACAGTGACTGGCATATGAACATTTACTGTTTGTTGAGTGAAGTGCCAATATGGTAGATGTGGTACTGGCTTCCATAGAAGGCATCGTTATAGAACAGTAGTGTGATTCATTCCTCACATGATCTCTCTACTTTTGTTATACGTGGATTGTGACAGTCACAGGCTCTGTATCCAATTTGCATGCACATGTCCTATTCCTATACGTAATGAGACACAGGCAGCTCACTGAAATTATGGTCCAGTTACTTGTAAGTTCTTTAGGCAGGCTTTTTCATGCCATGTCTCATGTAACAATAGGTAATATTTGTATAGTACACTGGCGTAAACTGAGGCAGTAAACTGCTTCTGGAACAGGGGCTCCTCCTGGGGATCTCCCAAAGTCTGAGGGGATCAGTGACCATGTGCAGCTAGAACTCATTAACAGCATACTAGTAGGGAAGTTATACTTTTTAGGCTGTACTGTCTGTAGAAGTGTAGTATGGTGCTTTAAAATCTGTTTTTTGTTTTCGTTCCTTTCTCATTGTAGCGTGGAAATTGGCGAAAGTGTACGTGGAGAGGATGTCTACATTGTTCAGAGTGGCTGTGGTGAAATAAATGACAATCTAATGGAGCTTTTGATCATGATTAACGCCTGCAAGATCGCTTCAGCCAGCCGGGTTACCGCAGTCATCCCATGCTTTCCGTATGCCCGGCAGGACAAGAAGGATAAGGTGGGAGCAGAATCTACTTTAAAAAAAATTTTTTTTTTGTTTTAATCAGAAGAAGCACATGCCCAGAGTCACAAAAAAAACTTCCTTAATTCTCAGATACATATTTAGAGGATATTGTTGTTTTTTTTAATCACATTCTCTTAGGTATTACCCAATGTTCAAAACAATTGACATGTGCTTCGTTTATATAAATCAACATCTTTGTAGTCTGTATTTCTTCGTCATACATCTGTGACTCTCAGCTCACTGTAACTTTTTAATTGTATCAAGAGGACTAAGCACCAGCTACCGTGGAGTAGAATATTTTTTAAACTGGTAGATCCTCTGGGACCCTCGTCATAAAACTTGAAGTCAGTTACATGAATACCTGGTCTCATTATACACATGCACATCTCCCCTTATTTATCTGGTATATTAGAGGTTAAGGTACATGTATAAAACTTTGCAGGTCTGTTCTAACAGTCAGTGCCCAAATTTTACGTACAATGTCTGGGAGAAGGCCAGACATTTTTATTCTGAGACTATAGTGCTCCTACAGAGTATAAAGGGCATGGGCTTTGCTAGTTTATCGTGCAGCAGGTGTGTTTATCTGTCATTTAAGGAGGTTGAAGTTGTTGGAATATTGACCTCAAGATGAGTAAGCAAGTGGTATAATTTGCACAATAAACTAGAATTTCCATTCTGTGATCTGCTTTTAAGTTTTGACATGTTAGATGCAATACAGGTTTGTGTATGTATGTGTCAAAAGAGATTTTAATAATTCTTGTGAAAAAGATTTTTTAAGTCAGCCTAGTTTGAATAATTGAGCATTAAAACCCTTAAATAGGCTGAAAATATGTACATTAAGAAAACAAAAGGTAGGAAGGTATTTTTCTTCTCTGAAATATATATCCTGATTTGGAAAAGTGATATTCCACTTAGTATTTGTGCTAGATTGCAATTTACTCATATAGTCAATGGCCATGGCACTTGCTATGAATTTCCTGGTAGCATGGTGCCGTAAACATAGTAGGTACACAGTAAGCAAATGTTTCTTGAGCAAATGAATTGTTTCTCAAAATGGCTTTTTGGTTTTTTGTCCTTCTTCTTTTGTCCCCTCCATTTAGAGCCGGGCCCCAATCTCAGCCAAGCTTGTTGCAAACATGCTCTCTGTAGCAGGCGCAGATCATATTATCACCATGGACCTGCATGCCTCTCAGATTCAGGTATCTGGAAGCTAAATATTCAGCATTAGAAAGCAGGGGGTGTGGGGAGGAGAGAGCTTATAATGCTAAGAGTGCACAGAAGCAAAAACCTGCCCAAAGACAGCTTAAATAAACTAGACATCGACATCATTTTAAACATCCTCACCTTAAGCATTGTTTACCATCTCAGTCATTTGGAGTGGTTGGATAAGGGAGGTGGTCTGGTATTCTGAGAAGAACATGGACTTTGGGTTCAGACCTAGTTTGAATACTGGCTGACACTTACTGGCTTTATAACCTTGCACAGATTATTTAACTACTCTGAACACACACTGCATTGTTATTATGAGTATTAAATTTATGGTATAAATGCCTGACTCAGGATAGGTGCTCAGTAATTGGGAACTGTTTTTGTCGTCATTAAATTTAGAGCCACAGATATCAGAATCTACTTTCTAGCATAAACACAGAGTAAGGGGAACGCAGCATTCCTTTGTATTTTGTACTGTTTAAAGGGACTTTCAAATCATCATTGGAGGCTTATGGCAATCCAGTGAGGTACACAGGGTAGGTGGTTATGACCATTTTTTAAACGTGTTTTTATTATTTATTTTTGAGAGAGAGAGAATGTGCATGCACGTGAGTAGAGGGACAGAGGATCCAAAGCAGGGTCTGCACTGACTGCAGAGAGCCCAATGTAGGGGCTCAAACCCACGAACCGTGAGATCATGACCTGAGCCAAAGTCAGACACTTAACTGACTGAGCCACCCAGGCGCCCCTGATTATACCCATTTTATCGAAGAGGAACAGATTTCTTGAGAAACGCAACTAATCTGTAGCAACTAGTATTAGAACCGAGATCCTTTACCAGTTACTCTCTGTGACCATTTATTATAAATACATTCCACTAAGTTTACATATCAAAGCGTCTTCTAACTGGTTTAACAGTTAGCTTTTGCTCCCTAACAGACCAGCCCAACATTTGATGGAATAAGGCAATAAGTATTACCTCATGGGTCTCCACATTGACTGGGCAGTCACGGTATTGGCTGAACTTGGCCGTTCTTCCCAAGGGCTCTTTCATGGTCCTGTAGTCAATTGTGGGTTAGCTGAAGTCAGGCCTTGCCCCTCTTGGCCGGGACTCTCTTGGCCAGCCCAGGTTTGAGAAGCCATTTTTAATCTGCTACACTGAGCATGCCTTCTAATCAGTTTGAATGTCACAGGAAGGTATTCTTTGGGCCAGTTATTATCCTCTTTGTATTAGTCATTTATAAATCGAAGAGCACAAAAAGAAAGCAAAAGTGACTCAGCTTCTTTCTACAGGGCTTTTTTGATATCCCAGTGGATAATTTGTACGCGGAGCCAGCTGTCCTGAAATGGATCAGGGAAAACATCTCTGAGTGGAGGAACTGCACTATTGTCTCCCCTGATGCTGGTGGAGCTAAGAGGTACGGCCAAACTGTGCATTGTTCTCACAGTACTGGGGATATCTTTCAGACAGCTATGTCAGAAAGTTGACATTTTTCTAGCAAGTGACAGTTTTTGAGTTCAGTTGACCCTTGAACAGCATGGGGATTAGGGCATCGACCTCCCCACCCCCTGCCCCATGCACTCCAAAATCCGCATATAACTTTTGACCACCTCAGAACTTAACTACTAATAGCCAGCTGTTGACCAGAAGTGTTACCAAAAACATAAACAGTCAATTAACACACTTCGTATTTTACGTGTTATAGATAGTATTACAACAAAGCAAGCTAGAGAAAAGAAACTGTTGTTGAGAGAATACATTTACAGCATGGTACTGCATCAAGAAAAATCTATTTATAAGTGGACCTGCACAGTTGAAACCCATGTTTTTCAAGGGTCACGTATACTTCAGAATGGGTGTATCAGTAGCTGGGACACGAGCTGGACATAGTTTTACTGACCTGAGTCACTGCCAGAAAGTGACAGAAAGACAAGGCAGCCTAGAGGGGGTCCTTAAGTAGTTGTAGTGTTGTAGGCTTGACTGAACCGCATTAGTAACTTGGCACCACAGAGCTAGCAAGCAACACCACTGTGAACCCATCCAGAAGGCTGGGAAATTGGGGTTTCCAGTGAATGGCACCAGCTATTGAACCATGTGCTATTATTGGACAAATAGGCTTTCACTCCCCTCATGATGCTGTTGGTTCGACCCGTGTTAACCCTGGCATTGAGACATTAAGCAGGAGGGAAAATAAAATATGGTAACTTTATATTTAAAACCAAGACCTTAACATTTTAAACAAACTGATTGCCAGGCATTGCCAGTTTCAGTGCTTCACAGCTCACATGGTGCCGACTAAGAGCTCTTGATTTCCTTAGTGGATCACTCATTAGTAATGCATTCAAAAATCTGACACATGTTCTTCTTGTTGTGGAAATAGAATGAAGAGGCTACAAAACACAGATGATTGGGGAAAGCTAATTCCAGTCTTTCTAAAGGCCATTTAAATCTTCAATGACTGTTTGTCCACAACCTCTTTATTTCAGTAACTCCAACAGAACTGATAAGCTGAGCACTTGAGTTCCGTTATCCAGCCAGATGTGTGGCTCTGTGAGTCTCATGTAATCGATAGTTATTATCTGTAAAAGCGACAGAGCCGAAAAAGCATCCCCCTAATGGCAGTTGTCAAACTTGTCTTAACTTGTTGGGCATTATTTTCACATCTTGCCATGGGACTTAGAAAATAGTCGTGTTTGAAACAAATAATCAAGCCAAGATCTTCTTTCCAAAGTTGGGTATAGGAAAACTGCCTTTAGTAGGTGACTTATTGCCACATGACCACTCTGTGTGTGTGTTTATAATTCTCTTTCCATAGTGGAGGATTTGCTGACTGAGTAGCTATCAGTTTGGTCTTGGCAGGGTTTTTGGAGTAGGTAGAGGTCCCTGTGTGATTGTGGTTTGCACAGAGTTTTCCCCTCCATGGTGTAGGGAGTGACTTTTTCCAGCCCTTCCTGCTTTGTCAGTCACTGATTTTTTTTTTTAATGTTTATTTTTGAGAGAACGTGAGAACACGAGCAGGGGAGGGGGAAGAGAAAGTGGGAGACACAAAATCCGAAGCAGTCTCTAGGCTCTGCCCTGTCAGCACAGAGCCTGATGCAGGGCTAGAACCCACGAACTGTGGGACCATGACCTGAGCCAAAGTCAGAAGCTTAACTGACTGAGCCACTCAGGTGTCCCCTGTCAGTCTTTGATTTTGTTGGCCATGGAGTATGGGCAGTCTGGGATGCTTGAGCTAATTGAGCATGCATTTGTCTTGGATGAGTAAACATTCCAAGGAGATTGGTTATTCTTATGTTCTATGCCCACACAATTCTAGTAATGGGGAACACAAGGTATGGTTCATTTAGATCAGGATACATAAGCTGTTCAGGTTGTGGTTTGGATCTTGCACGTTCTCTATTATATGGTCACAGGCTCTCCCCTGTCCAGCACAAACTCCGTTATGTGACCGTAGGCACAATGGAAATCAGACATAATGCTCTGGTTGTATCAGTGCTGCATTAAAAAAACAAGACCTGGGACGCCAGGGTGGCTCAGTCACTTGAGCGTCTGACTCTTGATTTTGGCTCAGGTCATGATCCCAGGGTTGTAGGATCAAGCCCTGTGTGGGGCTCTGTACTGAGCGTGGAGTCTGCTTAAGATTCTCTCTCTCTCTAAAATGAAAAAATAAAAACAAGACCCAAACCACAGGCTTCTTCACGCACGATGATGGCACAGTGGAGCATGGACCTACATGTTACTGGAACAGCGTGCTGTCATTTACATGGGATGGATTTCTGTCTGAGTGAATTCTGTGGTACTTTGTCATCAAAGATTTGTCTTCTGTGTCACTTTCTAGTTTGGTTTATGTTATTTTGTAATAGAAAAATAAGACATTTTGATTTGTTGGCAATCCTTCGGGCTGTCCAAGCAAGATGTCCCATTTTCCTGATTAATTGGTACAGTGTTCCTTGTAGTGCTCCTAAAAGGAACATCCAAGCTCAGTGCCCATGTACAGTTCACACTGACAGTTGGCGGATCACTGGGGGTAAGCACGGTGAGCGCACAGGCACTGGAATGGGCTGGGGACTTACTCCTCTCCTGTCAGAGGCTCAGGTTCACTTCTCATCACATCCGTGCATCCAGTTGGGACAGTCTGTGCACCCCCAGCATTAGCTAAAGGAAGTCTTCTTTCTCTTCCCTTCTGCTGCCAGTCTATTAAATGAATGTGCCTTAGCATCCTGCTGCTTCCCAGGACCAGTGAGGCATCTGGCTCTCCCCTGCTGTAAACCGGAATTAATTATAATTGAAGTCTGACTAATCTCAGGATACAGATGCATTAGTCTCTAAAACATGCTTTGTGACGTTTGCCTTTGAGAAGCCAGTCAAGCAGAGTTGTTTTCTTCCAGCCCCAGGAACAGTTTGGTTTCGAAGAGTGGTCTCCCTGAAAAACAAACCCACTGTTTAGTCCCTGTGTTGGCATCTTTAGGAGACACACACACACACACACACACACACACACACACACACACACACTGTTTGAACTGTGAACGCGCCGCTGTCTTGCAGAGTGACCTCCATCGCAGACCGGTTGAATGTGGACTTCGCTCTGATTCACAAAGAACGGAAGAAGGCCAATGAAGTAGACCGCATGGTGCTGGTGGGAGATGTGAAGGATCGGGTGGCCATCCTGGTAGATGACATGGCCGACACCTGTGGCACGATCTGCCATGCGGCTGACAAGTGAGTGCCAAGAGGTGGTGGGGCCAGTGGTTAGAAGTGAAAAGCTAACTGCTTGCTATCTGCAGGTGAATTGAGGGAGATGAGAACTATCTTTGGGAGTTTTTATTACCCTAGGCTTGAATTGCAATATGCATCAATTGATGAATATTTTATTTTTCCTCCAGATTCACTTAGTTATTTTTTTCTTACTGTGCTCAACTATATAAAACATAAATTTGCCACTTTGACCATTAAGTGTACAATTCAGTGGCGTTAGATACATTTGCAGTATGTGCAACTATCACTGCTGTATTTCCAAAATGTTATCACTCTGAATACTCTACTTTTGATAGTTGTTTTTTAAAATTTTTTTAATGTTTTATTTATTTTTGAGAGAGAGAGACAGAGACAGAATCTGAAGCAAGCTCCAGGCTCTGAGCTGTCAGCACAGAGCCCGACGCAGGGCTCAAACTCACGAACTGCGAGATCATGACCTGAGCCCAAGTCGGATGCTTAACTGATTGAGCCACCCAGGCACCCCCTTGATAGTTTTTTTTTAATTTTTTTTAACGTTTATTTATTTTTGAGA